CTTTATTCCTTATTTTCATTTTTTAAAAACTCATCTTTTTCTAGAAAATTTTATTTTTCTGTATGACCATATTGCTAAATGCAAAGGGCAACTTTCAATCCTTGTCTCATTTGACTTATCAGTACCTCCCAGTGGAGTTGATTTCCGCACTTTGTCATGCTCTGCTTTTTATGTGGTAATCACTGGCACGACCACTTTCCTTAATGGTTTTTCAAGTGTTCTTGTTACCTTATAGCACACTGCATAACCTTTCAAATGCATTGTGTTTTGTGTCTGCTTTTTCCTGGCTGGAATATGGGCTTTCTGGGGCTAATTATTGTAGAACTTCCTCATCAACAAGTGTATCCTGCACGCATAGAATGCTGTATACACTGAATAATTCTTTGAAAGTGAGTAAATGAAAGAAAAATAAGGAAAGTGAAATGCGGCCCTATGTCTGAAACCACTCTACTTCAAAGATATTTTCAATTGATTTTATCAATAAATATATGACTAAATATGATGATAATGCTATTTTGCCCTTATGAGACATTGCATGTAGAATTCTTGCTAAGTTTTTGACAAACAGAAGGGATGGTAAAATTACAAATAGCAATATCAATATTAGTAAAATAATAGAATCAATAAGTATTGAGTCTACTGTTCTGATTCAGTCATGCTGAGTTTCAGAATATTGAAAGAATTTATAAATTTGATAAGTTGATATTCTGACATTTAAAAATAAATCAGAAAGGAGTTGTTTACACCAGACTTAAATAAGATATTATGACATTATTAAAGAACCATTCATAAATGTTTTAAAAAGAAGATCTGGAGCTTGAAAGATGACTCGGACAGGAAATAACTTTCCACACAAGTCCTGATCCCTAACACCCATGAAAAAGGCATGTTTTACCACACATAGCTATCTCTTTCATGGGGGAGGGGATATAAAGATGGGTGGATCCTGGAGTTTACTGGCCACAGACTTTATATAATTGGTGAGCTTTGGGTTCAATGAGAGAACTTGTTTCTAAAAAGAAGGGTAAGAGCAACTGAGGAAAACACAGGATATAAACTTCAGGCCTCCACAGGCATGCAAACACATGCAAGCACACACAGACATGCACTCACACATATCACACACCAGCATGCCCTCACACATATCCTCCACACACACACCTACCTGATTTCTGTAAGTCTTCATAGGTTCTTCAAAGGGAATTCTTACTAGACTAGCCTATGTCTTTTTTCTCACAGCCAAACACTGAGGACTGAACCATAACTAAGTGTTCTACCTCTTATTTGCTGCCCATCCCACATCTTTTACCATTTTAAAAACCCAATACACTAATGGTGTATCTGAATCCTAACAACAAATTTTTATCATCTTTGTCATTAAAATGACACCCAAAAGCAGAAAATAGATACAAATATAAGGGGTATAAATTGCTTTACAATTTAGAATCATGATTCCCACAGAAATCAGCAGAGTAGGAACATCCAGTCACACAAAAGATTACAGAGCAGGGCCAAAATGTACAAAATGCCTGTTGTTTAGCTGCTGTGGGAGAATCGATATTTAATAGTCTATATGTAGAAATACGTAAGGGTATTTTTGAACGGACATGCCAGAGATACTTACATAATTTTAGCCTTCAGAAGTTCTTCTAAGTAACACATAGTGGACAGATCTTAGGATGTGAATTTGAATTCTTGTCATGTTATTACATCAGCATAAGCTAGCGTGTTCTAGAGTGGTCAAGGCAGCAAAGCATCTCAAGATCATTTCAATTAGGGAAATTAGAACAAGCCTGAGTTTCTTCCTAAAGATGTCTGAAGGAGTATGTATCTGTGTAAAAATAGTTCAAGTGTATCCATGTGAAAGTTACTTCTATATCCTCCTCAACTTTAAAACTTGTTTGTTTGTTTTAAAAATAATTTTAATGGTAGATTTTTATTCTACATGATACTGAGTTATATTTTCATACAAGTCTCAGGTGTGTTCTGAACATATCCCACCCATTCTTTCCCTCATTCTGTTGCTTCCCTAAATAGTTTCACTCCTGCTGTTTTAGTCACTGTGCCATTGCTGTGAAAAGACACTATGACCAGAAGAACTATTATTGAGAAAAGCATTTAATCAGGGGCTTTCTTACAGTTTCAGAGGCTTAGTCTATTATCATCATGGCAGGGAGTATGGCAATATACAGGTAGACATGGTGCTGGAGAAAAATCTGAGCAGTTTACATTCTGATCCTCAGGGAGCAGGGAGAGAGAGAGAGAGAGAGAGAGAGAGAGACTGGGCTTGGCATGGGCTTGGAAACCTCAAGTCCCACCTTCAGTGACACACTTCCTTCAACAAGGCCACATCTACTCCAATAAGGCCACCACTCCTAATATTTATAATCCTTTTAAACAGTTCTGCTATCTGGTGACTAAGCATTCAAATATATGTGAGCCAATGTGAGGCATTCTTGTTCAGGCCACTACTTCTACTATATCATGTCAGATGTGCTTTTATATATCTGTCTAAACCCTTATTTGTGAATAAGAGGAAACATGAGATTTGTCTTTCTGAGAATAACTTTATCACTTAGTGATTATCTCCAGTTGTATCCATTTTCAACTTTCAAACACTGTAACTTCGTTTTTCCTGGTGGAAAAGAATTCTGCTGTGTTCTTTATATCACATACATCGTCTTCATCCATCCTGTGTTGGTGGACAATCAATTTGCATCTATAACTTAGCTATTGTGAGTAGTACTTCAGTAACATTATGCAAAGATCTCTGGTATATTGACCTGAAGTCCTTTGGGTAAGTACCCAAAAGTGGTCTAGCTGAATCACATGGGAGATCTAGTATTTTTTTTGTTGTTTGTTTGTTTGTTTGATTGATTCTACTATATTGTTTAGCTAAAATTTATAAACAGCAGCATAGTGTAGTGTTGACAGAATGACTAATACATAGTTAATGAACCAGGATACAGTATTTGGAAGGAGATCAGTCTACATATTATAAAAAGATTTTTGACAAAAATGCTTAAATAATTAAATATATGACTGATAACTTTATCAATAATATGATGCAATTATGTTCATTGGGAAACACATGAATTTCCACCCCTACCTGGTGTGATGCATAAAAACGATCATGAAATAAGTCATGGAGCTTAATGAAAAAGCTAACGTCATAGAATTTACATAATAAAGAAAATCTCTGTGGCTTTGGGATACGCAGAGATTTCTTGGGACATAATAAAACATTAATTATAAAAGAAAACAATAAATTAGCAAAATTGAAACTTTCTGTTTTTCAAATGACAACTATGAAGATCTAAAAGCAAGTCTCAGGCAAGGAAGGAATATTCACGATGCAGTGATTAAGTGTGTGTTCCTTAATGGGTGTGTGCATGTATCTGTGAGTGTAGTGCCTGTGGAGTCCAGAAGAGGGCATTGGATCTGCTGGCGCTGGAGTTACTGGTGACTGCAAGCTGCTAGATGTGGGTGCTGGCAATCTAACTTGGGTCCTCTGCAAAAGCAGTGCATCTTAACATCTGAGCCATTTCTACAGCATTTATAATGAGTTTTTATAACTCAATAACAAGAAAATAGACTGCTCAAATTTTAAAGATGGATGGTACCTTTTTTAAAAAAGATTTATTTGTTAATTATATATACAGTGTTCTGTCTGCATGTATCCCTGCAGTCCAGAAGAAGACACCAGATCTCATTACAGATGTTTGTGAGCCATCATGTGGTTGCTGGGAATTGAACTCAGGACTTCTGGAAGACCAGTTAGTGTTTTTATCCACCGAGCCATCTCTCCAGCCTAATAGATGGTATCTTTTTTTTAAATTTGAATTAGAAACAAGATTGTTTTACATGACAATCCAAGTTCCCTCTCCTGTCCTCCCCCACCACCTCCCCCCAACTAAAACCCTACCTATCACATATCCCTTCTGCTCCCCCTGGATGGTGAAGCCTTCCATAGGGTGTCATCAGAGTCTGTTGTGTCCTTTGGGATAGGGCAAAGGCCCACCCCTGTGTGTCTTGGCTCAGGGAATATTCCTCTATGTGGAATGGGGGGAGATCTAGTTTTATTTTTTGAAACTAGATGTTGATTTCCACAGTGGTTGTACTACTTTTCATTCTTATAGGCATTATATATGAGTTCTCTTTTGCTGACATCCTTGCCAGAATTTGTTGTTATTTGTTTTTGTAATGACTTCCATTCTGTCTGGAGTGAGATGGCTTCTTAATGTAGTTTTAATTTGCATGTCTGTGATGGCTAGTAAATGACCTTCAAAATGACAAGTCTCTTCATGGCTTAATTTGTTTTCCTCCTGAATACGTCACTACTATTGTACTATGTATCTTACTTACTCTTATTTGGTTCCTTTTTCCAAGTCGTTAGGATGACACAAGTTACAAGAAGGCAATGTTTTCAAATTGTTTCCCCCTATTTTATTTACTTACCACGTTAGCCCTTATGCTACAAAATCCCTGGTTCATAGTAGATGTACTATGTCAATCATAAGGAATGAAACTATAGCTCATTGTAGAAGCCTAAGAGATAAAAATTGTATACCTGGTGGGAAATTTTTTCTGTTAAAAAAATTTAAACTCCGTGTGTCCTGGCTCAGAAACTCTGACAATGAGGCAGTATGTGCTTCCTGAGCTGGCTCTCCACAGAATGCTGCAGAAGTGCTAGCACTTTGATGCCAGGTATCTAGTTTCTTGATGAAATTCCTTAAATCTGTAAATATGTTTAAATGGATTTTAATATTGAGAACCAATGATGCTTAAATTAGACTTGTGGCTTTGTATATGATCCATGGCATAATACCACTTGGCTATTGAGTTTAGAGAAGTGCATATGCAAGTGTGTCTTGTTGAGGTTTGTAGTCTCATCTCTCCCTCACCCTCTCCCTCTCCCTCTCCTTCTCCCCCTCTCCCTCTCCCTCTCCCTCTCTTGCCCCCTTCCCTCCCACCCTCCTTCCCATCTTCTCTCTTTACAGCAGTGATTCTGAAGCACAAAGTTCTCAAAATTTGGGAACAATTATTGTGGAAACATCCCAGAAAATAAGCCCTATAGAAGATGATGAAGACCAGAAAGGAAGTGTTCAAACAGAAGACAGCTATGCTCAACAAAGGGAAATGCAGAAATCCTCACGTGAGGAGGGCAAGGCCCTGAAGGTGTGATGGAGCTTAGCTTAGTTCTACACTTTGTCCTCTCTATAATACTTAAATTGATACATTGTGCCATTGATTAAATTTGAATACCTAAAAATTATGTCTTCTTGAAAATAGTAAAAATACTCACTTTTGAATCATTTTCAAAACAGTTTGGTATATTTGCAAGATAAAAGTAAAATAAACACCATATTTATAAGCACTAGTTTTTCTTATCTCTCAGACAAAGGAAAGAATGAAAAACTAATAAGCTCATAATTATTTTTAAGAATCTGAAATAGAACAAAGGAATGTATGCTTTTGTTTTCTTTTATTATAATAAAGCTATTTATTTTTACTGTGCTCCTGCTATCTGACTAATGATAAATAGGTACTTTCTATAGAAATGATTATTTGGGGCTGAAACAGGAGAATCAAGAGTACTAGGCCAGCCTAGCCTAGTTTACATAGTGAGAGACCCTAGTTTAAAAACGCTTTTTAAATCTTTTTGTTGGTGCTATTTTTCTGCATATTACTTAATGGACTGTTTTGTTTAGTTGTAATTATACATGTGCAGCCTAATGAGTTTGTAAACTGAAGAAACTCAAGTTCTCATTGACATGGCAAGCAAATGTAAATACTTTTGAGTAAATCTATGAATGATTTTAACAGAAAATAAATAATCAAATTGTAGTCAATATGTTTGAGAAATATTAGACTCCCTTACCAACTCCTGGAATAATCATTGTCTTGACTTTAATTCAGTCACTTCTTTTTTAGGGTAATGATTACATTGTCTGTCTGGAGCTTTATGAAGTAGGTCACCGAGCCTCTGGTAGCTGACTTCCCTTGTTCTCTACCACTCAGAGTTCATTTATTTTCAGTCCTATAAATAGCATTTTTCTGTCTGAATATCTCACACATTGCCAAATATACTGTTGGAATTTGAGAGGCTTCCTTTTGGAATTCCTGCAAATAATGTTTCAGTAAACATTCTTGTATATTCCTTTTGTTGCATAAATGTGGACATTTCTGTAGTAAAAACTAAATCATGAATCACTGCCCTATGGCTGGTAACTTTCTGAGATTATGAGTTTCTTAAGTATGGGACCACTTCTCTGAACATCCCATGTAGTAATGAAAGTATGTTAGGCTTTCTCATTTCAGCCATTTCTGTGTGTTTTGTGATTTACCACTGAGGGTTTTTGTAATTACCAAGATGCTGAGAGATACAGAGTCTTTTCTTTGTGGTTATTGACCATCTGTAAATCTTTACTAAATTGCTTTTTCACGGATATCTATTGTATAAGAAATTTATCTATATTTTCTTAGATATAGAATATGCCAGGTGAGGGAGTCTAATATTTTTCCAAACACACTGGAATACACACACACACACACACACACACACACACACACACACACACACACATATATATATGTGTGTGTGTAATTTTTTCCTATGCTTTTTGCCCTACTAGATGGTGCCTTTTGAGTAAGATATCATATTAATTCCAATATGGTCCAATTTATCTATTTTCCCATTACATAGATAGGAAGATAGATATAAACTAATACAAACTACTCTGAAATTGGAAGGAAAGGGAAAAATATCAGACGGGACCCTCAGGTCATAGGATTCAACATAGTGTTGAATTTGCTGAGTTCCCTGTGTGCTGGCTTAGACACTGAGACACCCACAAACTGTAAACTGTAATAATAAAGGTGATACAAGGCCCTAATTACATCATGCTCTTTCTAGCCAGAGGATGAATAGAGGGTTAGCCTAGCAAGACAGAAAACTTTACATAATAACTGCCTTCTATCAGCTAAATACCATGGAAAATACAGCTCCACTTTCATCTCTAACATTAAAGGCCTATTGGGTATCTCAACTTTCTTGCCATTTATAAGGAAGCATCTCTCATCTCTCCTTCCATCTGTGTAAACAGATGAGGATCCACTGGGGAGCCTTGATTCCTTCTTCTTCAGTTCACTGGAGACTACAGAGACTTCCTGATCATCTGTTACCATCTGAGGGGTTCCCCCTTCTTTCTTAGCAAGGTGATTTCATGAGCTAAGCACAGAGAAGACTTTCATTACCTCACACCTAACAAGCCCCCAAGCTTCCTTGAGTTGTCACAGTGGTCAAGTGGGAGCACTAACAAGGTTCTCTCTGTCTTCCAGCATCAGTAGTAAAAACGAGGCCCATTGGAGAGCCTGAACTTCCATCCTGCAAAGCAGGAATGGTGTGTCCCTCTTATGGTGTCTCTAGAGACTGGACTTCCATTCTCAACTTGTATAATTGATGTTGTGCCTCTTGTCTCAACCAAATAATTTGTCCAAACAAAATGCAAATAATATCAAGAGTCTTCACACACAACACAACTATTCAGGGTGCAACTGGAAATCACTCATCATATTAAGAACCAATTGTATAAGAAAAATCAATCAAAAAAGACAAAAGCCCGACAGTAGATATGGAATTATATGATATATATGATATTCACTTTAAACCAAACGTCACTGTTAAGTGCTTCAATGAGTAATCATGGACAGGTTACAACATGAAAAAAGAAAAGAAAACAAAAAAGGGCCTGTTAATAAAGAAAGAATCTCAGCAAAGAAGTAAAAATATTCTAAGAGCCAAATAAAAATTACAAAACTGAAAAATAACTGGTTTTTATTTGGCCCACAGAGGGTAGCATAAATCCTTATTCCCCCAAATTGGTTCCATTGTCAAATGGGATGATACTATACTTCACAGTGGGCAGGGAGTTTTATTATCCATGTAATGAAATGCTGAGTCTAGAAGTGAATCTGCTAGCAACTGATCTTTGATAAAATGAAAAGAATATTTCAATTAAGGAAGGGTAGACTTTTTGACAAATACCAAGATCAGTTGGATATTCCCATGCAAAAACAGGATTATATACCTAAACCTCAAATCTTATGCTTAAGTTAACTTTATGCACAACATATAAAAGTGTGACATTTAGGTTATAAAACTTAGGAAATGTAAGAGAAAAATCTTCAGAACCTAGTGTTTGATAAATAAAGAATTTTTAGACCTGATACCAATCCAAGATCCATAAGGTAGATTGCATTAAAATTAACAACTTTTGCAAAGCAAAAGTTCTTACTTAGGAGGTGAGACAGTATGGCTGGTGCCCAGTATCTGATAAAGGTTTCGCATGTTGAGTCATATCAAGAATTCTCAAACTCTAGCCTTAAAAGATACAGCAACGAATTGGGAATAGGGAAGGCATGAACAGACAATTCACCTGAAAAGATACCTGGGTGGCAAAATAAGTACACAAAAAATTGTTGAGCATCACTAAACTTTCAGGAAACCCAGGTTAAGATCACAATGGACATATCAATGAAAATAATGACAATCCCAAGAGCTGGCGAAGATGCAGAGAAAATGGAGCGTAGGCTTTGCTGGTGTGATTTTGGAATGTAACAATGTAGCATTCCAGAAATTTCTTTGATAGTTTCTGAAAAATTAACTACCACTCATTCCAAACTGTAACTAAAATCCAGTTGTTAGACTCTTCTTTGCCCCAGTTTTTACCAGATTGGGGCACAGGGTAGGAAGAGACACAGAAAAAGGCCCAGGATTGATGCCACATGACAACCCCTTAGCTCCCCAAAGCCAGGCTGGCTTGGACCTCTTCAGGTGAGCATTGCCAGTCTTCAGCTAGAGATGATCTTCTTGCCTTGGTCTCCCAGATATAAGCCAACTCTCCCAGTATGAAACCAAGAAAAACATGTTGTTATCACCATTTCAGCTTCATTTGCCATTAGATTCTCATGCCTACATTCAAACAGAACAGGAGAAGCATCTAAACATATCCATGGTGGGGTTTTGTTTTTCTGTCCTCAGGTTAGATTCTACTTCTGAGTTGATTTTGTATCTATATCTTCTACCTGATAGTTCAACTTCAAATCTATTGTACATATTAAAATAAAATTCAGATTGATTCCTGAGGCAGTGATTGAGGGATCAAACAGAATTTTGTTGTCTACATATTTTATCTGCTTAACTATGTGACATGTGAATTTGAGAGTGTCATTGAGGAGTAACCAATGTTTTTCTGGAACTTTCAAAATTAGGATATTTCTCATTATAAGAATACCAAGAAAATGGCTTTTCAAAAGAAGAGTGGAAGCATGCAGAAGAGTTTCCATACAGTAGTTCCTGCCAAAGGTAAGAGTATAATAAGAAGCTAGCACAGTGTCTTTATAAATGTAATCTGATTTTGTAAATTATGAGCAATATTATTTTTATTTAGTTAACAGAGACAAGTGCAAAAATATACCTGCCCAAAAATCCAGTAGCAACACTATTTTATTACGAGAAAGGATTGTGTCCTTGCAGCAACAAAACAGTTTGCTTCATAATGCCAGGAAAGCAGCAGAGTCATCTGCTAAGGAGTATAAAGAAGCAAACGAGAAACTCCTCCATCAACAGCAGATATCAGATCAGCGATTTCAGACCAGCAGACAGACAATAAAGGTAAAGAGAACTTTAAGTCTGAATCATAATAGATATGTTGGACATACGGGTATTTTGTTTTACATGTGGTTTTAGTTCCCATTTCTGTTAGACATGTGTACACGTTTCTAAAAATCTGAGGTGTTGATCTAGATCCTATCTCTTTAAATTGGGTCTCATGATCTCACATGGAGTCAATGTGGGGGCCATGATCAATTTGGTGACAGTACCAAATCTTAAAACTAACTGTATGATGGATCTGAGATACTTCTAGTGACACCCTTGTTGCATTGTAAGTCTTCATGCTGTCCCATGTCCCACATCAGTGGATACTGCCTGAAACAAGTCGGCTCATACTCCACACTGTTATATGTTATAAACTTAGTTACATATTCTTATTTTACAAATAAAGATTTTGTTCTTATAGAAACATGATGCTTCAATTACAAAAGTCAAAGACTTTAAGAACTATTTTTTACCATCATTCTTCTGCTTGCTGGTTTCAAATTGGGACATTATTGGATTGGATTGTGTTAGAATGTTGATTTTTAAAATTTCTGTTTAGACTGGTGATTAGACTATAAAAAACAAAAATTGTTAAACAAATTCTGAATGTCCAAATGGTCATAAATAAACATACTTCTGCCATTTTGTACTACACATTTACATAAAGTGCCAACTTGAGTACTGACAGTTCTCTAAGCAAAATATGAATCAACTCTGAAAAACATTGAAAGTAGGCTATATCCTAATCCTTTACTTTTTCTGTGGCTTGCCTATTGCCTGAGAAGGTTGTCTGCAGTTCTGGGTATGCAAATATCAAACAGGCACACAAATCTAACACTTAATGCTTTTTACCAATAATACAGGGATTGATTGAAAAATATTATTACTATTTATTACTTGAAAAAGTCTGCATACTAATAAAATGTATGTCTGTGTTTTCAAAAAGAAATGTCTTGAGTGTATTTTCCATAATGCAGCATATGGATACTTTTTCAATAACGAGAAAATGATATAAACAAATTAAAAAGCAGAACATTAATAAATATACTGCTTTATATGGCAACTGAATTGTATGAGGGTTGCTGTCTTTAAGGTTTTCCTCTACATGTGAAGTATACTTTGGTGTGCTCTTAGTAGATAACATACCAAGTGAAAGCTACCTTCTTTTCTTAACTTTCTGTGGATCTTTAATTACAAATATTTGGGCTTTGTTTGGTTTTGTTTTGTTATTGTTTAGGAGACAGAGTCTCACTGTGTGTGCCTGGAATTCACAGAGATCCTCCTGTCTCTGCCCCCCCCCCAAGTGCTGATACTAAAGATGTGTGCCACCACACCCTTAAGAATTTTAAATTTAGTTTAATAATTCTTTGTCATCTCCTAAGATACTCATGGTATGTTCCCTTATTTAACCTGTTGATTTAGTGGATGTTTTTTGTTTTCCTGTTACCAGTGGTAATATATTATTTATGATGTATTAAAGCTTGCCTCAGGGTATGGAAAGCAAAGCTAGCCACAAGCCATAGAGACAGGCAATGGTGATACACACCTTTAATCCTAGCAGCTATACTAGCTAGCTATAGAGGCAGGTGGTGGTGGCACACACCTTTAATCCCAGGACACAGGAGACAAGCAGATGGATCTCTCTGTTAGTTCAAGGCCACGTTGAGCTACTTGAAATTGATCTAGTCTAAAGAGAATTAGCTCACACAAAGGTGATCTCAGCACTTAGAATCACACACCTTTATTTCCAGGATTTGAGAGGCATAAAAGGAAGAGGCAGCAGTCTGGGTTTTCAGGATAAGGCTTGGTGGAGACAGGATTGCAGCCTGAGGTTTGGTGGAGAGTTATTCTCTTTTTTTACTTGATTATTTTTTAATTTAAATAAAAAACAATCTTATTTTACATACTACTCCCTGTTCCCTCTCCCTCCCATCCTCCCAATCCCCTTACCATCTCCCCATCTCACCCGACATCTACACCCTGGAGAAGGTGAGGCCTCCCATTGGGGATCATCAAATTCTGTCACATCATTTGGGGCAGGACCAAAGCCTTCCCTGCTGTATCTAGGCTGAGAGAGTATCCCTCCATAGGGAATGGACTCCAACAACCTGTTTTTGCATTAGGAATGAATACTGGTTCTACTGCCAGCGGCTCCATAGATTGCCCAAGCCCCACAACTGACACTTACTTTCTGGGGGCCTAGTTTAGTTGTATGCAGGTTCCCCATCTGTCAGTCTGGAGTCCTTGAGCTCCCACTTGCTCAGGTCAGCTGTTTCTGTGTGTTTCCTTAGCATGGTCTTGACCCTTTTTTCATCACTCCTCCCTCTCTACAACTGGATTCCAGGAATTCAGCTCAGTGCTTAGCTGTGAGTCTCTACTTCTGCTTCCATCAGCCACCGGATGGAGGCTCTAGGATGGCATTTAAGGTAGTCATAAATCTCATTATAGGGGAAGGACATTTAAGGTAGCCTCTCCTGTATTGCTTAGATTCTTAGGTGGGGTCATCCTTTTGTACTCCTGGGAATTTCCCTACTGCCCGGTTTATCATTAAGCCCATAATGGCTCCCTCTATCAAGGTATCTCTTTCCTTGCTCTTCTCTGTTCTTTCCCCAGCTCAACCTTATAGTAAGAAATTACCAATACAGAGTCAGGTAGAAATATAAGGGTATTTAATAGGGAAAAGCCTTACTTACAGAGCGAACCAGCCAGCCGGTGGTAGTCTGTACAGCAAGAAGCAAAGAGAAACCGAAACCGAAAACGCAGTCCCCCTACTC